ACTATATGTAGGCCACTTTTTTGGTTTTGTATAAATAAAACACCTTCAAAATAAGAACAAACAGATTTTTATCAAACATGATTATATCAAAGTAATAACCAAAAAGGAAAAAACCAAACTCACTGCTGTCAAGTCGTATCTGACTCATAGTGACCCCTCCTTGGGTTTCCAAGGCTATATCATTACAGAAGTAGATTGCCCAGTCTTCCTTCAGAGGAATGGCTGGTAGATTTGAACCACCAGCCTTCTGGTTAGCAGTCAAGTGCCTTAGACACTATGCCACCAGAGCTCCCTAGAAGTAACAAAGAGGTCATTCTTTTATTCGACAAAAATATTATTGGGAGCCTATTCTGTGCCAGACCAGCCACTCCTTGGAAGGAAGGTTGGGCAATCCTACTTCCATAGTGATACTGCCTCGGAAACCCAAGGAGGGGTCGCTATGAGTCGGGGCCGACTCGACGGCACATAACAACAACAACAACATTCTGTGCCAGACATTGTACTAGCCACTGAGAATACATGGGTTGGCAAGACAAACTCTTGGCCCTCAAGGAGCTTTACATTTTGCTGGAAAAGACAATAATAAGTGAATGTGGCACATCAGATGGTACTTAGTCCTGTGAAGAAGAATCATGCAAGGTGAGCATATAGAGAGTGAATGAATTGAAAGAGTAAGGCTTGCAAATACTCATCCTTTGTCCTTGGCACCTGGATATTATGTTAAAACCATCACTTCCCTTCCCCATTTCAAGAAGGAATGTTTTGCTCAGAACTTCTTTTTAAGATTTGTGTTCATTTCTGTGTAACTTGGTGACACTGTAATGTGCTGTCACTTTCTAATTCTAGGCTAAGCCTAGCAAGGCTGTAAGAAGAGTAACAACAGTACAACTCCTTTCCATGGTCTTTGTATCTCTGATGTCTGCCTCATCTTAACCATTCCAGCACCGTCTCTTGGTTATAGGCTGTGTTCAGCTACATGGGCATTCTAACCATCACCCAATCTTCTTTTACTACCTGGGCCTTCTAAACAACCACCCGCCTTCTGGTTAGCAGTCAAATACCTTAGGCACTACACCACTAGAGCTCCCTAGAAGTACCTCTTTTCTTCTCTCTCCCTTTCCCCCCTAAGAATGAGAGCTCTTGAAATATAGGTCTCCAGTCATTCAGCATTGTATTTCTGAATCTGTCCAATGGCAGTGTGTGGGGGAAATGCTGCTCCACATTTCAGACATCATGTTAGTAATGCCATATAACACAACAGTTTGGTGAGCATTGCTCTCATTTAATGGATAAGACCAAAAGAGTAAAGGTTCAGTGCTGATTTCAAAGCCAAACGTGGGGATTCCTAAACTCATAATTGTTTTACCTTAAATACTGATGGAATAAATATGCATTTGTTAATGCCTAAAAGCACTCTTTATGTAACTTTCCTTTTTTACATATTGGGAAAGTAGTAAATTTGGAATTTGACCTTATTTATCTTCTGATAGAGTTCATGTTGTTTTTTCTGCCTTAATTTTTTTAAAATAAGCTTTTATCAAATTAATATATTTTGTTGCAAAATGAAATAGAAATTATATGAGGAATACAGAAGAAAGTAAAAATCACTTGAAATCCCACCCTCCAAGATAACAGTGTTAACATTTTGGTGATCATCACTTCAGACCTCTCTCTATGTACATATACACACAGATATAATACATATATTTTTTGAAAAGATAAGAAATCATACTGTAGAGGTTTTCCTGTGGCTTTTTTCTCCACTTAATCTATTTTGGACATTTGTAAAAGGGGCATGGGATAGGCATCTTCTGACCTCCTACAACCTCATGAGGGGGAGAAAGACTCACCATCAGCAGCCCAAAGCTTATTCCTATGAGGCCAGATATGCTACTCCCTCCAACCTTGTTACCAACTGTGACACCAACCATCCCTTTCACCATACTCACTACTTCTCTGCTCGGTTCGATAATTCATTGCAGTGGCCACACAGAGCTCACAGACAGTACTCACAATTATGAGATTTATTAGGGAAGTAACAGGCTACAGTTTAGGTTCAGGAATACACTCAGGATACAGTTCTTCAATCAAGAGTCTCCGCTCTGGCCCTTGGGCTCTCAGCCTGGCCTTGCCCTGGTGGATCAAGTATTACAAAGGTCTTGTCGGTCTCCCGATAGGTATACCTACGTGCACACTTTCTCACTCTATGGGTCAGCAAAGTTGCCGCTTTGTCTCATGCCTCTTGCATCCACTGCCACTGTCTCTCAGCCGGGTATCTCTGCCATGATGTCTCTGCCAAGGAGGTCCAGTGCAGGGATCTTGGGGCCACGGATGCACTCCACTTCACCTCCAGCTCTTCTGTCTTGATGGTAGTGAGATCCCCTTTCCACCTCTAAAACCAAAAAGTCCAAAGTCACTGCCATCAAGTCAATTCTGACTTATAGTGACCCCCATTGAGTTTCTGAGGTGGTAGATCTTTATGGAAGTAGATTGCCCAGTCTTCCTTGCACGGAGTGGCTAGTAGATTTGAACCACCAACCTTCTGATTACCAGTCAAATGCCTTAGGCACTACGCCATCAGAGCTCCTTTCCACCTCGAGGAAGGCTCATTTTAAGCCTAGCAGAGTGACAAAACTGACCACTCCCAACATTGGAGTTCCATATACCTTATTTGCATGGTCCCAACCAGTAATATGGTGGGAGTCACAAAGACCATGGATAGACTATACAACTATGAGACCAGAAGAACTAGATGGTGCCCAGCTACCACTGTCATCCACTTGGAAGGGATGTAGGAGATCCTGCATAGAGAGGAA